AGGGACACCTGGACATGTCTCCAGTCCACCACAGGGACACCTGGACATGTCTCCAGTCCATCACAGGGCCGGCAGTAAAATCATCAGTTTTTAATTGTTACCATGTTCCTCCTGGTCTGGAGTCTCTGCAGCATCTTCCTCCTCCTCGTCCTCCTCAGGCTGCTCTTCAACCACTTCGAAGAAAGAGAGGAGCATGACAGACTCACAGAGCACCTCATGGATCCATTAGAGGATCAGTAACGGGTCGTACCTCGCTCCATGCTCTGTGGGATCACACCGCTCTTGTCTTTGATCGGCAGCAGATGGATCACCTCCTTCTCCTCCATCCTCGCCATCTTCCTCGGAACCTTCTCATAGCTGCGAACCACATCAGAGCTCCGCCTCTTACCGCTGTGCACCGGCCCACTGTGACCAAAAAAGTGTGCCCGTTACCGTGACGACAGGTGTTCATATTTTTCCTGTTACTGTGACGACTGTGTTTGTGTTACCATGACGACAGATTCACTATGTTCCTGTTACTATGACATCAAGTGTTCAATGTGCTTGTTACCATGACGACGTGTTCAGTTTTCTGTTACCGTGACGACAGTCGTTCAATGTGTTTCTGTTAATATGACAACAGGTGTTCAGTTTTCCTGTTGCCATGACGACAGTTGGGCACCGTGTTTCTGTTACCATGACGACAGGTCTCTGGTGATGAAGGAGGCTTGTCGAGCCATGGTGGTCATCCTCTGCAGGTCATCTTCCTCCATGTCTGTGGGCAGATTCTCCAGGAAGTCTTCGTCCTCCTCCTCTTCCTCTGTCAGACAGGTGAGATAATGTTTAAAGCTCTATTCAGACTTGACCTTATTTGGCTTTGAAGTCAGCCGCTCAGTCTCACCTGGCCTCTTCCTGTACGTCTCCAGGGGGCGGGGCGACTGCAGGGCGGCACCCTTCATTGCCTGCCGCAGCCTCTTCTGTTCCTTGCGCTGCTTCTTGGCCACGTTCTCCTGCTTCAGCTGACGGTTCTTCAGCTTGTTGTCCAGCTTCACGCCGCTCGTCTTCAGCAGGCGGCGGAACGTTGGCCGGCGCTTCTTGGACCGAGCCTGCAGAGAGGGAGGGAGCGCCGTGAAAACCCAGAACCTGATACTGGATTTTCGTTGGTACTCTGACTCTTTGTGAAACCGTGGATGCTGAAGATTTACGGTCACGTTGAATTTTCTGAACGTTATTTAAAAATCATCTAACAAAGAAGCAAATCTTTCATTAGAAAGACGACCCGTTAAGGGACAGAACCAGAACTCTGACCAACTCTGCTTTTAACACAGAATGTTCTGGACTGCTCCTTCTGTCTTCATAAACAACAACAAACAATAACAAACAATAACAAAACAACAACGTCCAAAACACTGAGGTCTGTTGAGCTCCAGATAGAAATAAATTACTCATTGTTTCTGTAAAAAACATTTTTTATTACAAAAAGTCTTATTATTTAGAGACAATGAAAGAAAATAAAGAGTTAAAGGAAAACTAACAAAGTTCTTTCAGGTCCTCTGGATGTTTGTTTTTCATCCAAAGGACTTCATCAGTCCCAGGAGCCACAACAAACTCAAAGTCCGTCCAGAGGACCCGACTCTCAGGATGAGAGACGAAACGTTTCTACATTTTTTTGCTTTGTTTTGTTTTTTTGAATGTCCAGAGGACCAGATTGAACTTTTTTGGATTTTTCTACCTGGATTATTGAGCATGGATCAGGATACAGAATAAACTTTATTATCATTGCACTGAGATACAATGAAAACATGTACGTAGTCGTTCGAAAGATGGACATAGTGCACGAAGCTGCTGCTATAAAAAGCACGGCCCTCTTATTCTTATTCAGAATAATATTTTGCTTAGATGAGAAAAGGGAAGAAAACATGGAGACGGTAAATAAAAAGACCTCTCACACCGTGTCCTAGACAGGGCACGATTTGAGGCTTCAAAACAACCTACCACAGCAAAGCAACAGACATGATGCATGTTCATATAGGCCAAGGCTTCCTGTTCGGGTAACTCTTCACATATCTGATGGTGACGTCTTCAGCACGTTTACTAAGGTACCCCAGGACTGAGGACGTGTATTCGTCCAGGTCTAGCTCCCCCTCATTTACAGCAGCTTCTCTGAAGACCTGCCAGGCTATGCATGCAAAACAGTCTTTCAGTACGGGCCCACTATTCTTCACCAAACTTTCCTTTGTATCGTCTGGAGCAGCTCAGCGGGGGAGGTAAGCTTATAAACTGGATTAAACTGGATTAAACTGGATTGAGTTGGGATGAGCTGGATTTCTCGGTGCAGTCCGAGAGCAGAGGGCGTCTAGTTCAATATGTTGTCCCTCTTGAAAGCAGAGATAAATGCTGGTCTTGATCCTTCCCAGTTCACTTATAGACAGGGACGGGGATGATGCCATTAACGGCACCACACATGTAACTCTTGAACATGTTGAAAACCCAAAGGCCTGTGCTCGTCTTCTCTTTATAGATTTTAGTTCTGCTTTTAATTCCCTCCAGCCTCACCTGCTCTTTTAGAAATTACAGATGAATCTTAATCCTCTTCTTATTAAATGGTTTTATTCTTTTTTAACAAACAGATCACAGCTTGTCTGAGTCAATAACACCTGATCAGAGCCAAGGTCCATCAGTAGTGGAGTTCCCCAGGGTTGTTACCTCTCCTGTCCTCTTCACCATTTACACAAATGATTGCATCAGCAGCTGCCCGGGAATTACGTTTTTAAATTCTCTGATGATCTGTTATTCTCAGCTTGCTGCATGAGGATATGGACCCCTCATCATATTTTAATGAGGTTCAGTCTTTAGTTCATTGGTGTGATGACCACCACCTTGTTATTAATGACAAGAAAGCAGAAGATGCTGATTGACCCCAGGACTCTGAAAATCAACCAGCTCTGTTCTTACAGATATTTGGCTGTTCACCTACATAATCTGATCAAGTGGGAAATTCATGTTAACGTGTTGTGCTCTCGGCTACAGCAGACTGTATTTTTCACAAAGACTCAGAGTCTTTGGGGTTCACCAGAGGCGAATGGTTTTATTCTATCAGGCCGTATTTGAAGGTATCATCAGGTTTGTAATGTGAGCGTGGTGTGGTCCTCTCTCTGTGCAACTTCAATCTAAACTTAGTCTCATGGTACAGACTGCAGTGAAGGAGACAAGAACTGATCACCCTCCCTCAGCCAGTCTATGAGGAGTCTGTCCTCAGACGTGCTCGGAGGGGCAGTCTGACCCGCTCACATCCTCAACGCAGTGCGAACTCTTACCAACTGGAAAACACTTTAGTCCCAGTTTAAAACTTCATTTGTTAAATAAAGTAGACATATAGTGTTTGTCATGCTGCTGATGCTCTGGTCTCATTGTTGTGTCATTTATTTGCTGGAATGTATGTGGGAATGTGCAATATGTTTTTTATTTGATTGCGGTGCTCACGATTTGATTGTTTGCAGCGTATTTAACTGAGGAAGAAGCTGTTTAGAGCACAGTGTCCAGACAAATTCCCTTGGGGACAATAAAGTACACATCTATCTATCAATGGCCTCAGGATTCCTTCTCTATTTGCAGATGACGTGGTCCTGTTGGCATCGTTTCATGATCTTCATCGCTCACTGGAGAGGTTCACTGGGACGAGGATCCAAACCTTCAGACCTGAGGTCGTGGTCCTCAGTCAGAGGGTCTGTCCTCTCCTGGTTGGGACTGAGGTTCTGCCTCAAGTGGAGGAGTTCAAGTATTTCAAGGTTTTGTTCACAACTGAGGGAAGAATAAAGTGGGATTGACAGACGGAATGGTGCAGCGTCTGCAGTATTACGGACTTTGTGCCGGTCCATTGTGGTGAAGAGGGAGTTGAGGTGTAAGGTGGAGCTCTCAGTTAAATATCTGCAGCATCCTTCCTTGCTGCTGTTCAGACATTCTTTAACATGAAACATGAATGTAAAACAACAACTGTTGTGTTCTTTAAACACCCAGTAATTAAATTAAAACGTTATTTTATTGTTTTGTCAATGAAGTTTGGTAGATAGCGTTAGCATTATGCTAACATGAGGCTAACAAGCCAGGCTCTATTAAGAAATATCTTTCTTGTCATATTATTTAGAGCAATTTATAAAGTTTACTTTGAAGTTTCTCTGAAATTTGTTTCAAGTTGGCAGCACGGTAGAGCTGCTGCCTCTCAGCGAGCAGGTCCCCGGTTCAAATCCCGGTCCGGGGGCCTTTCTGGGTGCAGTCTGCATGTTCTCTCCGTGCTGCGTGGGTTTCCTCCCACAGACCAAAAACACGCACGTTAGACTGATGCTGACTCTGAATTGTCCCGAGGTGAGAGAGAATGGTTGTCTCGTTTGTCTCCAGGTGTCCCTGTGATGGACTGGAGGCCTGTCCAGGGTGTCCCCCGCCCCTCGCACAGTGATTGATGGACATGGACACCGGCGACCCCCGTGACACACAATGGAAGAAGCGGGTAAAGATAATGGATGGATGGATGGATCTCCTGACCAGACTCCGTTCAGAAAATCACCAATTTAGGGGTTTCGCTCACCTTAGCCATGATGGCGGCAGGAAGTCTCCGCAGGTGAAAGCTTTATTTACTCCCGCTAAGTGAGAAGTCGTCGGGTTTATTGAAAACAAGATGTTTCGGTTACAGATCGTGCAGTGACAACAACCTCACATGCGTTGTCCACAGAACCGGAGGCTCCTGATGGACAACCGGAAACCTGGACCTAGAATCCGACTGAAATCACAGCGCCCCTAGCGGCGGGAGGACCGACAGAGGAGAGCACAGCGCCCCCAGCGGCAG